AAAAGCCAGTTTCTGGAATATACTTTCAAATAAATAAGGATGTCCAGTTTTCTATATGTATGTTATGATTCAATCATAAGTAAAAATAAGTATAAACAATTATTACAATAATAGTAATTAATCTGCAGAAAATGGACTGAGTATAAATGGCTTTTAAAAAAAAAACCCGACAGGAGACGCTTAGTCTGGCCCTAAAGTTTAGAAGTGGATAATCGATAAACGCATTCAGGAGAGTTACGCAGATACTGAGCTCTGTCTTAGGAATTCCTACCACTGAAAGCTGCTTGAGTGTCACTGGTTGTGCGAAGGGACAGAGTTTGGAACACCGACACTATGACAGCTATCTGAGCTCTGCTACTGTTGCCCACCTACACAGTTAAAATCCTATTTTCAAAGCCATTTGCTAAAATATTTTTCCTAACCGGGAGACCAAACTTGAAGCACTGGTTCTCTTGGGGAACTGAGTTTAGTTCTTTGACTTGACCTGGTTCCTCGACTGCACAGGAGGCATTTCCTCTCAGGCTCTTTGCCTGTAGTTTCTGTTGCTGCCACCAGATGAGTCAGGCTAACTTGGTTTTGGTCTTCATGGTGGTTTCCAACCAGACTTGGGCTATAATCAGGTTAACCAACCTGTTGCGTGCTTTCCCTGTCAGCCATCTTCCCCTTAGTCTGCAAAATAATAAAGATGTAATGCTGCATTAATTAGCTAAGCATAGAGACTTAAGGGTGGATCCAGGCAGTCCAGGAGAGCGTGTTTCACAGAACACTGGACCCTTGGTATTGGTTTCCACCTTCCCCACTGATCTGTCAGTGTCTGGGCCCTTCCATCCATCCTGCACGTTCACCGCCGAGTGGAGTGCTGTCCCCAGAGTGTTTCCTTGGCCCTGGGGTCTCTCAGAGCTTGGTGAGGAGTCTTCAGAGGTGGCTTTTCTTCAAGACACTGTGCTATCAGCTCCCTGAGCAGAGACAGGACCTGATTACCAGTTTATCACCTAAACAGAGTGCAGAGTCAGGGTAACTTAGCCAAACTTTCCTGCGCTCAAAGAATTTCTGGCAGCAGTTAACGTATTTCCCCAAATATCAGGTAATTCCCTCGTGTTTGCAATGAGAGGTTTTACAAAATGGGGGTTGTCTTTAGCCCACTTGAATATATAAAACATTGGTATTCAACTTTGTGGTACCCTCAAATGTCCTAAGGAGATTAAAAAAAAATTATTGTGGTAAAGTTCACACAACGTATTTACCATCTTGACCATTTTAAAATGTACAGTTCTGTGGCATTAATTACATTCACATTGTTGTGCAGCCATCACCACCACCCATCCCCAAAACTCTTTTCTTCATCTTCACAAACTGAAACTCTAACACATTAAATACTAACTCCTGTTGCCCCTCCCTAACCCCTCGGTAATCACCATTTTATTTTCTGTCTCTTCAAATTTGACTCCTCTAGGTACCTCACATAAATGGAATCATATAATAGTTGTCCTTTGTGACAGGCTTACTTCACTTAGCATCATGTCCTCAAGGTTCATCCGTGTTGTAGCATGTGTCACAATTTCCTTCCTTTTCAAGGCTGAATAGTATTCCACATTTTGTTAGTCCATTCATCTGTCGATGACATTTGGGCTGTTTCCATTTTTTTTTGTTCTTATGTAGACCTTTCTTTTTTGGCATACAGACCCAACCATGCCCAGAAACTATGCTCTTCCACAAAACCAAGGCCCAGCTGGGGCCCAGCTGAGATCAAATACGTGAGCTCATAAATGCACGAGGTGTGTCACTTCTTTTCCCCACGACATTCGGCAGTTTAGAGCAACACTGGTAGAGTGGAGTTCGTGCGGCGCTAAGGATTGGCCAGGGGCCCACAGCTGACTGACAAGTCTAGGGTGTTTTTAAACATATCACTTAGATGTTTGATCATGTAAGTGGGCAGGCGACAAAGATGGAGTGGGGTTGGAGGCCACCCAGCTGGTGACCAAGGAGCTGAGGAGAAAAGCAGGGTCAGAGGGAAGGAGGGATAAGGAGGGTGTCATGGAGAAGGGCAGTCCCTCCCCGCGTGCTGTGTTTGTCTTCATTTCTACCCACCCTCCACTCACCCTGCCTTCTGCAGATGTGAGGTGTTACGTCTCAGATGTGCGGATCACCGTGGTCCAGCATGGATAAGACCCTTCGCCTTGTAGTCTAGAATCTAGTGCAAAAGAGACACTCCCCACCCCTCTCATCTTACCAGCTCTCGTCTTCACGTGGCCCTTAGAACCCCTGGCCTTTCCACAACTTTTGCTGGTGTTGCCTCTTATTTTTCTCCCCTCCTCTCGACTTTCCTGTCTCATTCCCTCTCCTGCCACCAAGATATGGGTGTCTGGGTGTCCTGAAGGTTGTGACCTCACATTTGGCTCTCTATCACCCATCTCTTCTTCCACAATCACTTCAACATCCTTACTTCTGTCTCGTGCCTTCGCCTCTCCCAACACCAGCACCATGTTTTCAACTCCCATAGACATCTCATCTTATCTGTCACCTCTTCAGAACCCGCCCTTCACTTCACCTTCTTCCCCTCGTCCCCCTGATGGCTATACCTCAGGAGTGACTCCAGCTTTATGCCTTCCTCTCCCAGGAGAGTGGTTTGGGATCTCATCAGTTCTTGCCTGTGAGGCAGTGCTGTTTCCGCCACCGTCCCCAGCCTCCACGCTGTTCCTGACCACCCAGGCCATGTTTCCTGCTTTGTTCCTAGAGCTCTGAGGATGCCCTGCTTTTGACGAGCCCTTTTAGGACGCCCTGTTATCTGTGATATGGAGCCCAACTCCTTAGACAGGCTCTCAGGTCTCAATCCGGCCTCAGCTCACTTCTCCCATCTCTGTTACCCATCTCATGGCCTTCCTTGAAGAACACAAAATACCCCACAGGGCCCCAGGCTTTCCTTATCGGCTCATGGTGGGCCTCTTTCTAAATGCCCTTTCCTCCTAAGTCCCCACGCCAAACCCTCAGCAGGTCTCATCTCAAATGTCTCTGATTTAAAGAAGCCTCCTCTGTTTTTTGTTGTTGGAAGAAACCTCTGTCCTCTCTGACTAGCTATCCCTCCCTATTGGAGCTTACCATCTTCTGCCTGTATTTTAGTTATTTGTGCATCTCTATTTCCCCAGCATATCTGAGGGTAGCCCTTGAGGTCAGGGTTCAGGGCCTTTTATCTTTGTCTGTAGGGTCCCACATGGGAGCTCGTACCTACTAGCTGCTCAATAAACACCTAAAAGACCCTAAAAACACAAATATTAGTCTTTTCTGATTTCACCCTTATAAAACTAACCTAAGAAGTAGCGTAATAATCAGAACAAGAACAGAGATTGTAGATATGAACCTAAGTTCTGTCTCCATCGACCTTCATGAGTAATTCTGCGTCGTGTCCCTTGTCAGCATCATGGGGACGGTTTTGGCCAGACATTGACTTTCGTACAACTTTTCTCCAGATCGTGAGAAATCAAGTCACATATGCCCTCTAATATAGTCTTTACCTAAATTTCACGTTTTAGTAGGGATCTCAGTCGTAGCAGGACCTGTCAAGTTTAACATTTGTGTGTCTTCACACCACTGGGAGGTCCTGTTTCGTTTCCAGTTCGGGGAGCAGAACTGGGACTGTTGAAAGCGGTGCTCACCTGCCCGCTCCTGCAGGAGCCGCGCCGATGGGAAAAGGCAGGTCTCTACACGACCTGTTCAGCAGTGAAGCGTGGCCCCAATGCTGTGGAGCCTCTGGATTTCGCTTCATAAAGGTGGAACACTTTTGTTCTCTCAGAGGCTTCCTATCACTCTTACAAACTTTATGCGAGTATATGTATGGGGAGCAGGTTGCTTTTTGTTCCAGGAAAGACAGTGGTGAGAAATGAGACTCAAACAGAAGCAAGAAATCTGTAGATTAGTTAGGGGGAAAATCCAACTGGTGAGACATCGGAAGTCTTCATGGGTGAAAAAAGAATGAGAGTTGTAATTAGACAAATGTCTACACACTGCTGAGACGTGGGAATTTATGAGCTTGGAGTGAGGAGAAAGGCTTCTTAGAAGATTAAGAGTAAAAGACTGTTGAAAATGTTTGACACCTGAGAGTTAGCACATCTTTAAGGGGGAGACCCTCAGATCTGACAACACTTAGAAACAAGCTCATCTCTCAGGCACCTCGATGTACAAGCCAGCTTTGGTACACGGCGTGCCTGAAGTTACGAGGCAGCTGGAGGAAAACCCTGAGCTTTTGACCTAACTGTGGTGCATTTTCTGCAATACTGTGGATGGAGGGGTCGTATTAACTGCTGAGACAGATTTTAGTTGTACAAAGATGGAGTTTACATAAACAAGTGCAGTCTGGGGCAGGTCTCTGCTGACTCCACTGTAAACACACACGCACACGCCCTCCGAGATCAGAGCATATCTCTCTGTGTGCCATATCCCGTGGCCTTGGTTGTGAAAATAGAACCTCAATCAAATGGGCAGAGAGACACGATTGCCTCTCAAGGGATTTGGATGCTGCCTTTTAAGTTAATCTTTGCTGCTTTGTAGCATATGCTTAAAAAGTATAAGAGATAAAGGAAAGAATTATAACCTGGACTGACAAACAGCAAGCCCGCCAAGAAGTAGGTGGGGAATACAATAAGGAAAATAATCCATCAGGTGAAATAAAAATAAAACAATAGCACATTGTTGAGTGTATTGATACATTTTTTAAAAAATAGGGACAATAATTCATGTACCAAACGTTTGTTGAGTGTCGTCTGTATGCCAGGCACAGTTCTGGGCACTGAGGACCCAGCCCAGGGAGCAAATAGACAAAGCCCTTCAGCAGCTTACATTCTAGAGACAGACGCAGAGTTCACTACCCATTAAAATACCATTCTTAAGATCCAACCCCCCAACCCGCCCCAGGTTTTGGTGGAAATTTAACTAAATTGGAAAGTTAATATAATATCTCCATTCACATATGAGTATGATTTTAATGATGGTTGCTTTTTCGTTCCTAGGGAGAAGAAAATGGCTTTCCAGACAGCACTGGAGAGCCCCTTTCAGGTAAATGATTGACTCTAAAGATGTCTGGGCTTCGGTCGAGTCAGTGATGGCTAGCGTGGCTATATAAAAGATAATTGCGAATATGTTTATCATTACCTTTAAAAATCTGTATTACAGACTAGAGACACTTTCCAACCACATGCCGTGGTAAACTGCAAAGAAACCTTACAAGATTTCACAAAAGGCTTTGAAGGGTATTTTCTGAGTTAACCCTCCTTTGTTTGTGAGGGGCTCTGCAGGATTCTCAACTGGACAGGTTTAGGATCAGGCAGAACTGGGCAAACCCCCCCTACACCGCCCCCGGAGTAGGCACACAACTTGGCCAGGTGACTTGGCCAGGTGGGAGAGACCAATGGACGCAGGCAGAGCAAGTCAGGGCGAGGCCAGCCCCGCCCCCACTGCCTCTCTCCCGCTCTGTGCTTCCAGCACTTAGGTGCCCAAAGAGCCCCTCTGACATTAGGCCACGTGCTGCTCCTCACGCCTTTTCTGCTTGTCGTGTGTTTAACCAAAGAAACATGAAAGTTTGTCCCCTTACCCCTTTTTTTATTGTAAGGCAAGAACTTTGGCAATGCTTAGATTTCTCATTAATCATGGGGGAAAATATGGAGCGAGCATTGGAATAAGCTGCCAAAATAATAACAAAAAACAACAACAAAAAAACAAGCTTCACCAACACTTTCTATATCTTTAAAAACACATATTGAACTACCTGAGTCCATCAGGACTTTGTTTCTTTCTTTTTTAAGGGGGCTGAGAGACCCTCAGGACAACCTGTCATCAACCCCAAGGCTGTGCCCAGGGAACTGTGCTGGAAAGCAGACCTATGGGACATAATCAGCTGCTGTTTCCTTAGAAACATGATTTTAGCTCTGGGTGGTGAGATTCTAGGTGATTTTTGTTTTTTTCATTGAACAGACCTTTATTTGTTGAAGACCCAGTGTGTGTGAGGCTCTCTAAGGGGGCCTTGTGGCAAAAAGAACAACTGTGGAGACAACAGTTGGAATTCTGGTTCCGGTTCAGGTTAGAAAAATTAAGGGAGAAATTGGGCCAGACGAACATTCAGTGTATGTTCCCAGCAGGTTCCATGGGAAACCTCAATGCTCAGGGTCACATCAGGACACCCCATTGGAACTGCCTTCCTTGAGCCACACCCACCCCCAGCAGAGGGTAGGGCCCCTGGCTAATAATTACCCCTCTTCCACAAACACAGGCTGAAATTAGAAGCACTTAGCTGGGTTACCTGGAGGAGGAGAAAGCATCTTTGCATGCCAGCAGAGGCAATTTTTATTTTCTCTCACTCTCCTAGAGTTTTAAAATTTCTAACATGAGTATCAAAAAAATCTCCTCCCCCCAAAAATAAACCAACTTTAATCTGTATCTACAGAGGTATATATGAAACATGATCAGATGTAGGCAAACATACAGTGCATGGTAAAAAACAAAACAAAACAAGACAAAAAAAACAAGGAAGTCCCCAAATGCCTGTGACTAGCCTGGTGGTGAGAGCATGAATTTTTTTCCATAGGCTTATCTAAATGTTCAGGTTTTCTGTGACAAACACGTATTTCTATTCTGATTTTAAAAATCTGTATTTAAATTTTTTAAAGAATAACAACCACACATGAATGTGAAATGTCAGCTAAAATGAAAATGTGTAAAGTAAATTGTGTAGAAAGATCTGTAAACCCTTCAAGGACTCTTATGAGTTAAGGTCATTATTAATAAATAGATTAACTTTAACACAATTTGAGGTTGTCTCTAAAAAAATTTTACTTGTATTAAAATAAAATGGAAGACTTTCAAAGAGAATAAACTTTTCAGTGATAGCAGGTAATATTGAGAGCAGACTCTGAACTGGTAAGGTCACCTTTCACATCCAGCACCGTGCTTTGCACACAGGAGTGGTCTGTGTTTGTTTGGTTGGGTTTGTGTTTTTGTTTTTCATACACAAGTAAATGAGAGACATTGACTTGGAAGCTTTGCTCTTGGATGAATTGGCCAAAGCAGATTGCATATTTCATCTTTGAATGATAGTAGCTACTTAAGATTTGTTTTATTGTTTTACTTACAAACATTAATTTATCATTCACCATGTACCCAGGCCTTCCTCTAAGCACATTGCAAAAAAGTGCACATGACAACTCTGTGTGTGGGTCCAAACATTTTCTTCACCAGGTGGATGAGAAAGAAGCAGCCCTGGGTGACGTGGCCAGAGCTCGGTCACCCAAGTTCTAAGTGTGACTCCGGCCCCGGCCTGGCCTGGAGCCCACTCCCAGCCACCTCACAGGCTGCCTATATTGGCCGGTGCACATCCTGTGAGCACCCACTAAGTGCATGAGTGTCCTCAGAGGCTGAGGGTCAGATTCCAGCCCCCTCATACTGAGTCCTCAGCTGGGACAAGCCGAAGTCCACCCCACCCCACAAAGTCAGTCTCTGAGTTGCTGGACTCCCTCTCACAAAAGCTTGCTCCTTTTCCGGAATCAGACCCTCAGACTTAACTCAGAGCCTGGCTTTTATTTAATTCTTGTAATTTGAAAACCTGAGTGAGCTGCGATCCAGTTTATAGCTGGTGAATATAAGCAGGATGAGGGCGCCAGACGGAGGATTAGGCAGGAGGGAGAAATGACAGCTGACAGTTTGTAATCAAGGAATGGAAAGCGTGCTACTGAGAATCAGCTACCGCCAGGAAAGTAGAGCCTCCTTAGTGGAAACACTGGGCACAGAAGCAAACGCCCCGGAGGCAGAGTCCCATAGAGAAGATACTCAGAGTGACGCCTGGTTTCAAATGCCGCCAAATGATGCCCAGTGTGCCCTGTTAAAGGAGACATTCAAGTTTTACCATGTTCTCATGCAATGTTACAAAATGAAAACATTTGAGCATTGAAGGAATAAGGCTCAGTTATTTTTAAAACATCCCCGAAATCAGAAAATATAAAACCTTTTCTCCTACTCTCTCTAGTAGAGGTGGGTGTCACATGGACCATGACACCCTCTGCATCCGTTTCTCAACTAGCGCCAGTTTTTCAAGGATGGCTTTCTGACAAACATGCATAATTCAGCACTTGCCTAATCTAAACCTCATTTCTCCATAGAAAGAATGTAAAATAGGATTTTCATTTTTTTCAAATTGTGTCCATAAATTGACAATTTGTTAATATGTTTGCGTCACATAATTTCATAATTCAAATTCACATAAAATTCTATGCTGAATTTTAGCCTAGGTCCTTTCTTACAGAAAAGTGTCTTTTTTTAAAACTTTTTTATTTTTATGTGCCTTCTACACACCAATTTATCTAATGACAAGATTGAAACCCAGCTTGATTTACCAGCCTAGAGCCCTCCAATTTGTCAGCCTGCCCGGTACTTAAAGGGTGTTTTAGAGAGAGAAAATGAAATCATATTGTTTTTCTCGTTGGTTGAGATCAAACACCCACCTAAAACCCGCGGGGTCAGTTTCTTAGTAGATAAAAATAATTCTTCATTTTCCAGCTTCTGGCATTTAACTAACTAGCTCTGATCGATAATGTGGTATGTGTGCACCCCAATGGTTTATAAAAGCCATAAACTGGCATTTTAAATTTATTTCCAACTACATAGAAATAAACATGAATTTACACCCTTAATAAACATAACTGCAGAAGTATTTGACTTTGACACTTGGTATTTTGCAGGCTGCAGATCTGATAATTTATAAAGACCTGCGATAGAGCTATTTTATTTCGGGACCACAATATTTTGCTATTTGCAAAGTTGCCAGTAAACAATGTTTACTATTTAATTGTTTGAACTAACTCAAGTCTCCTACTTGTCTTGGGGAACATTATTATAAACGACCTGACAGCTAACAGTGGTCCTGAGCCCATTGGAGGAAAACACCGAGTGGTAATAGCTCGCCAAAAACCCAGTGCACAAGATAAAACGGCACCTCCCCTGCAGGGAAACCCATTAAGTCACTCTGATCCACTGCCAACATTCTGACTGGAGCCATTCTCTACGCTTAGCTAATCAGGACCTCTGTCTTGTTCCAGGTCACAATTAACTGTTAATTGACTGGTTGTTTACAATCTGCCAGCCCCAAACTTAAGAGCTAGACACTGCACCATTGGATGTGTACTGTTTTATTTTTTTACAGTTGTTTTTTTTTCTTTTTTTTTTTTTTTCAGCTGAGCCATCCTGCCGCCTGTTGGCAGCTAAGCGGCAGCTCAGCTCAGGCCGGGAATCGAACCGGCAACCCTGTTGCTCAGAGCTCACACTCTTGAGCAAGCTCTTAACCAATTAAGCCACTCGGCTAGCCCTTTACAGTTGTTTTAATGACTTAGACATACTTTGTCAGAAGAACGGGCTTGAGTCCTGAACTCTCCTATTAAGTATAACGTTAAAGGTGTATGAGAGAGGGGATGGGGGACAGGGCAGAAACGGCCCTTAGGAAAATCTATTCGTGAGCTTGGGAGTGTGGGGTGTATTATCTGTCCAACAGACACAGCCTCTGTCAAAGGGCTGTATTCCAGAATCTCATTTTGGCAGGCCCTCTAAGACCTTAGTCTGTAGATGTCATTTAGATGATGGTTTCAACCCTGGCTGCACATTAGAATTCTCATGGAAGATTTAAAAAACTCCCATGTCCTGTCTTCCCGCCCTCACCCTCCCTCCACTCCCCTCCCCTCCCCCGGGCCAATTAAATAAGGGTCTTGGTGGGTGGGACCAGACATTAGGATTTTGTCAATCTCAGGAGTGGGGGAGTTCATCTTGCAGCCAAGGCTGAGAACCACTGCTTTAAAAAAGGCATTTGGTTATGATTCCTCTCCTACAGCTTCTAATTCTTGGTTGTGTGCTCACTGTGAGCTAACATGAGGCTTTCATGGATGACCTCATCTAATCCTCTCAACAACCATATGAAATAGGTGTGAACATCTCTGCTCAGAGAGTGAGGACGTGGTCTTAGCAAGCTCGTAATCTGTCAAAGCTTCACACCTGCACAGTGGGAATAGGTGTTGACAGTT